TCTATCTTGATAAGGCCGGAGTAAAGAGATTGGTAGTTCCATCTAGTGAATAGTTGCGTAGTTTATTTTTAGGCAAATGTCATGACGCAACTGGGCACTTTGGCTACAAGAAGACGAGTGCTAACTTAGTACAACGATTTTGGTGGCCCAGAATGCTAGATGACGCAAAGAAGTATGTTGAGACCTGTCAGGTCTGTCAGCGGGACAAGCCGCGAACTCAAACACCGCTTGGGTTATTGAAGCCTTTACCCAGTCCTGATGGTCCAGGATTGAGTGTTTCCATGGATTTCATGGCCCTAGTGACCAGCAAGAGTGGTAAGAGGCACATTTTCGTCATCATTGATAGATTCACCAAGTACGCTAGACTAATACCAATGCCAGAAACAGCCAGGACGGAGTATGTCATCAAGTTGTTCAAGSACAACTGGGTAAGGGACTTTGGTATACCAAAGACCATCATTAGTGACCGAGACGTCCGCTTCACAAGTGRACTGTAGAAGAAGACTGCAGAACAGATGGGCAGTCAACTTCAAATGACTTCAGGGAATCATCCCGAAGCCAACGGACAAGCCGAACAAATGAACAGAGTAGTACAGCACTTGCTGCGGCATTACATCAAGCCCAGCCAAGATGATTGGGATGAGCAGTTGCCTCTCATCGCCAGCTTGTACAACAATGCTATTCATAGTAGTACCGGCGTTAGTCCTGACCAGTTGCACTTGGGATGGAAGCCTAGATCAGCACTAGACTTCCTCCTACCTTAAAACCGACCTGCTGCAACTCCAAGCACACTTGAATACAATGTGCAATATGAGAAGTTGCTGCGAGAGGCTGTTGAACATATGAAGAAAGCTCAGCAAGCCATGATTGCTTCTGAGAATCAACATCGCAGACAGTCCACATTTCAGGTAGGGGAACGTGTCTGGGTCAAGGCTAGTGAGTTAGGACAGGAGTTCGGAATATCTCGTAAACTAATGCCTCAATACTTTGGTCCCTGGAAAGTCTTGGATGTAGTTGGAGATGAAATGGATGGTCCTACGCACGTCATTCGTATCCCTGGTCATCTACGCACTCACCCAGTTTTTCATGCCTCAAAGCTTGCACCTTTCGCTGAGACAGATCAATTCCCTTCCAGGAGATCGATGCTGCCCCCAACCATGGATGGTCAAGTTGACATCGACGACATTGTGGATCACAGGGACATGCCTGTTCCAAAGCCGCTGGGCCGAGGAAGACCTCCCAAGCCCAAGAGAGAGTACAGCGTCAGATTCAGGCATCACACGGATCCAAAAGAAGATTGTTGGTTTTCCAGGGAGGAACTGATTGACACAGCTCCTCAGGTGGTGGCAGACTATGAAAAGAAACTGAAAGGGAAGGCGCCTGCGAAGCAAGCATCTCAGCGGACTTTCGAAGCTAAGGGGGATGGAATGTGAGGATTGAGCCCTCATCTAGGGGCCTTGCCATGATGTACATGTTCTGGGCTAAGGCCCCAGCAAGCCTAGTGCCCGCCCTAAGTGAAGGCGGGCCAGCAAATCGACAAGAGCCCTCTGTGCAACATTTCACGAAGTGGGGTCCATACAGTTGCTGCACGCCAGTTGGTTGGAGTGCACCGAGTCTCGGATTTCAGCAAATGCTGAAAGCCCAGGGCCTCTGAGTTGGTTAGGCCCTGGGCATCTGAACGTGAGGTCGACAATGCATGCTGGGAAGAGAGGCCGAAAATGCCAAAGGGAAAATCGGCCCACTGTCTGAATCTGCCCGCAGGCCTTGATGAAGGAGGCGCAACTGCCTTACCCCGGGGCCCAACTGTATCGAGTTGGCTTCAGCCTCTGGGCCCCGGTCACAGGCTGAAGGCGGGCCGCCCACATGCTGCACTGGCATATAGGCAAGTAGCGCGAGGCAGGAGGCATCTTGGCCAATGCTGGCACATGCGGGCACGCTGCGCGGATGCATGTGTGCTGCGCTGTGCAAGGCAGTGCTGCGCTAAGAGCAAGCAGGCCAGCGCTAGGCGGTAGGGCGCTGCCTGCACTGAGGGCACTGGCGGCCATAGCCTGGGCCGCAAGAGGGTGCAGGGGAGGTGAGGGCGAAGGTGGTACTTCGGAGGTGAAGGGCGCTGTGTGGGTAACAAGGGAGAGTGTGAGGAAGATGACACGTACCTGGTGATGGTGGAATACGGCATTGGTGTTGACATCATCACTCGCTGGTAGTCAAGTTGTCTGGTTGCTGTTCATTGCTGTAGTTGTAGGATAGGCTGTAGAGTAGATAGCGCGCCTGGCGCCATTCACAAGAGAGAGCTACATTTGGGTTATGCTGTTGGTGTTGCCCTGTTGGGCATGGACATTGACTCACGATTCTTCTGTATCATTCTCAAT